TAAAACAGCGAATACGGAAAAATGCATCACGTGAACAAGGTAAACGACTGTGGTATAGAATAGGTCTTTCCTTGTGCGTTGGTGTATTTTTACTAGGCATTCATCGATTCCAAAATGACTGGCATTGGACAATGCCCATATTTAAAATAAAGCTTTTTTCTTGGCATATATTTCGTATTCGCTAGAATGTACCATACAACGTGCATTATAGGGGCTTATCTAACAAGATATATCGAAAGCCTCCCCTGCTACATGCTTTACGTCGGTCAAATGTCTCGCTGCATTTTATCATTAAGTCTCATTTTTAGTTGTATACTTGCTTGTACATTTTCTGGTACGTTCCTGAGCAAAACTGACCTTTTATATTTTTAGCTAATGCTATGCTGTTTATGGGAAAATTGTGATCATCCACCTCATTTCTGATTAATGTGAGAAGTTTATCATAAACATTCAATGCACAAAGAAGCACGAAAATAAAGGAGAAACGCATATAATCTCGCCAGTTGTTGGATTTTAAATGTACAGCTGCTGACATATAACCAGAAACGCGTACGAGCATTCAAATAAACAGGGTCTGCATAATGATACTCGATAAAGAATCACAAATGTCTAAATTGAGCTCATACGGTTTTTCAAATGCTAATATGAAAAACGCTTCTCGTCTGGAAAGTAACTGAAATGGTCAATACTACTTTGTCGTAACTGTTGCTATTTGAGGGAAACGAAACACTGCTAACTACTGCCAAACAGTCATGGGAGGGGAAAAATTTGGGATGTAATATAACAACAACAGAATGACAATGTAGCATTGTATTTTCTCATCTGGCATTGCAATTCTATGTAGTCGGTAAGTGACAGCGTTAGTTAATTTCTGCTTTGTGCATACCAGTAACAAATTGTGTACACATATATGGCTAGTCTATTTTAGGCACTAATTAAACAAACATACTTGTGGTTTCTAGAATGCGATATGTACACATATATGTTGATATGGGTAAAGATTCGAGGTCCAGATATTGTATCGCGTTCATCATCCCCCAAAGAAGACGAAGAAGAAGATGGGGCGAATTCATGGACCGAGTTGTATTTGTACTGACGTTTCGGAAACCCTCTCGTTTCCATCATCAGAGTAATGCGTTGACTGTTCCTGCTGGTCTTGATTACGTCAGCCTTGATACCTGCCTGGTATTATATCCGTGCGCGAGGCACAAACTTTGACCTGCCCGTTCGCCGCCGATTAGCGTTGACCTCTCCACGATTGACCGCCGGTGGGCTCTTGCCACTAATGACCCCTTTTCGGCCGTCGTAATTGTTGGTGAGCCAGCATGTTTGTCGGCCTCCCCCTCGTCACTCAACGGACTGAATAGTTGTTGGGGCTCATGTGAGTTGATCTCAGCCTCTTGGTTGTTGCGGTGAGGTGGCGTCGCATGCTGGTCACATGATCCCCAGCCGGCTTCTCTCCCACTTTCTGCTGACATCGGCTGTCGGCCACGCGTCACTTTGCTCGAATGTCCTGATGGCCTTGTCCGCACTGACTCAAGCCTTGTACGTAGCGCCTGATAGGCGGGATGCAGATCTATGGCTCTGTTGAGTGTGCCAGTCGAGGACCAACTTTCGAGCACCAAAAGTTGGCCTTACTGGCTATCTCTCTCGAGCATAACTAGCAGCTGCACAGCTCTGCATGGTAAAGGAAGAATTTTACTACCGACAACGACAAGAGAGATTGGAATAAACACTTAAGGTGAAACACGTGTACCAGTGTTTCATGCCACTGTGAATGTAGTCATATTTGTAAAAGCATTATTAAGTTTTCAATATACTTTTGGCGGAACATCATTAATCAGTTTCGTATTTAATGGACGGCAGTAATTCACTTTATAAGAGTTTATAAATATACACTTTTTGGCTATATCGCAGTTGGTAGCCAGGAATGGGGAAGTGGATGGCGACCTTAAAACTAATGCTAGCCTTAATCCTAACCCTTACCGCAAACTTAGACGTCAAACGTTAACATTAACGACAAACCTAAATCTAACTCTAAACGAAATCGTAAACGTAACCGTAGCCTTTAAGAAGAAAACACGATCGCCGTGACCAGAGCTTTATTAGCTTGACTTTTCGCATTCCTGATCGAATCCATCATCAGAGACAAAAGCAGATACGGGTGGTTCATGCATATGGGGCTGCAGTATTTATAGGATGCAGTAATCATGCTACCGCATGCCTATGAATATTCACGGCTCGTTCCTCTTCATCAGGGATCGTTGCACGTGAAGTGATGGCCGAAATTCGCGTCGTTAATTGCTGCGTTTTCTTCACTTGCGTTGGATGTTGGTGTGATGCTTTCTCGACCATCTGACGCGCTGACCCGGGTGTTGGGAAGTGTTCAGCAGTGCACTCCCCGCGGGGCCAATTACTCAGCCTAGGCGAAGTCTCAGCACCGAGTATTGAATGGGAAGTTCATTGCACTTGTTAATAGACCTGGGGGCCAGTAAGCCATGACTAACGCAGCTCCCGTCTCACGCGGTTGTCACCTCTTGCGAGAATTTCGGCATCGTCAAATGTGAATGTGTGGCTGGATCTCGTCGAATGAGCCGCAATTTGAGAGCTGGTGTCAGTTCTGCACACCGCTACAGCGTGTTCGGCCATTCTCGTTCGTAGCTGTCTTCCAGTTTCTCCGACGTAGTTACTTCGTCCGCAACTGTACCAGATCCAATAAACCACTCCAGACGTTTCTTGTCGTGGCAGTGGGTCTTTTGGTTTCATCAACTGACGCCTGATGGTTGCCTCCGGCCTGTGTGCAACTCCAAATCCAAGTGGTGCGAGAAGGCAGACGACAACGTGTGAAAAGTTCGTGATATACGAAATCGCTCGCCAAACGTTGGTGTCCGTGCCATAAGGCCTTTCGTCCATTTTGCGAATGCACCGGTTGACGAAGTTTCGCGGGTAGTCATTGGCTTTGAAGACCCGTCGGAGGTATTGTAGCTTGGCAGTCTTGTCTTCCGGCAAACTGCAGTGCTTTTCGACACGCCGATAGAGCGTCCATACACAACTGTGTTTGTGGCTGAATGGGTGGTTGGTGTTGAAGTTCAGAACTTGCATCGTAATCGTCGCTTTCCTCAACACATTGGTCTTTATTCCACCACAATAATTGCCGTATAGGGGGATACCCGGAAGGTAGGCACTTTGCTATCAACCTACTCCATCGTAAATTGTATGTCCGGGAAGACCGAATAAAGCGATACCTCAATGACAGCAGTAGATATCGGTCGAAAGCAACGAAGGTATCATCCAAATACCGAACCCGGAAATTCGGTGTGTGGTGGTGGAAGACCAGCGATACTAATCGTTGCAGGACCACCTCGGCGTTGAACCCCGAAATCGGCGAACCCATTGGTGTACACGTCACCTGTTCGTAGTTTCTCTCGTCGAAAGGGAAGTACGTCCAGAGAGATAGACGTCGGCGCATAAAATGCGATTCTCCGTTTCGTCTTATTTGCTTGGTAGAAGCAGCTCAATTGTCTCGATCGACACATCCTGGGGAATATACAGTAGATGTGCTAACTCATGAAATGCCAACCAAAATTTCGAAATGTGTTCTCGATTCGAAAAGATAAATTAAGTAGTGTTGAAAAACTAATCAAGATTCATTATAAACCAATAATTATCCCGTGACCACAGGGTTTTGGCTTTCGGATGAACTTATTTTCTGCTGCAGGCAACATCCATAATCTGCAAAAATTTACCAAATATTTAGTATGCAATTTTCTCATTGCTTTTCGATGCCCTTGAATATTCAATTATATTTCATGGTAAATATACACAAAGATATTCATATATTTACTTGTTCGGTAGAAAATCACGTTTTCTTACAATTTCATATTTAAAATAAGAGTGTTATTCGCTTCTAAAAAACTTTCCTAATTCCCAAATAATTTTGAACCTGACCTGCTGTTACATTTGCATTTAGGGTTTCAAAACTACACGCTTTATATTTTCCGTGTACTGAAAACCATGCAATTCTCTACGGTGTTAAGACGAGACCATATGAGTTTCATAAAATTAAGCAGTGGATTCGAGCAATATTGTTAACTTTACATGCCTTATTCGTAAATGCAGGCACATGACGTTTCATAGACGGCCATTTAACGGCATTAAAAAATCTCACAATTATAATCTTAAAGAAAACGGAATTATACAATGCTTTTGTGTATGAAATTGGAAGAAATCGTGATTTTCTACCGAACAAGTAAATATATGAATATTTTTATGCATATTTACCATGAAATATAATGGAAAATAAAAGGCCATCGAAAATCAATGAGAAAATTGCATACTAGACATTTAGTCAATTTTTGCAGAGTACAGATCTTGCATGCAGCAGAAAATACGCTCATCCGAAAGGCAAAAACCTGAGTAACCAAATAATTATTGGTTTATGATGCATCATGATTAGTTTTTAACACTAATTAATTTAAATTTTCGAAACGAGAACGCATTTCGAAATAATGGTTGACATTTCATGAGATAGCACATCTACAGTAAGTAAAATGGATCAAACAACAAATGGTACCATGACAACACTTGGATGGAGGCTTACCTCATTCAGTTTCTCCAGGAATTGTGCTGACGAAGAGACCATAGTTTCTGACTCAGCGGTCTGGAAGTTGAGATGCCGGAACAGCCACTTAGCCAGTTCGAAATTTAGATAATTTTTCAGAGAAACGATGGGTGGGAGAGGATCGCCGTATTTGTGCACAAAATTTAAGCCATAGCATTGGGCCAAAACAATAATTTAGGGAGCAAACATGCGTCTGACGGTCGGTGTTATTGCACCTGAGTTCTCCAAGGCCAACAACGTAGAAATCATTTGGCGTGTCAGCGCATAAAAGGGATGGCTGCAAACAGGAAACAGAACTGTCTGTCCTAAAAAAACTATGATATTGTGCATTAAGACTGCAGAATGGTACATGGAACTTCGCTGCTATTGGTAATGTATTATGGAGCGATGCTCATGGAAAGAGCCGACGAAGGTTTTGGCCCGATTCTATGGCCTCCCTAAGGTGCACAAAGACGACGCTCCTCTCCCACTCATCGTGTCGCTCAAAGGTACGCCAACGTACGGACTGGCTAAATGGCTGTTCCGACGTCTCAAGTTCCTGACCGCTGAGTCAGACACCACGGTCTTTTCGGCAGCACAGTTCCTGCAGAAACTCAGATGGGTGATCCTCCATCCTAATGAGGTCATGGTATCATTTGATGTTACATCCCTTTTTACTTCTATTCCCCAGGACCTGACGATCGAGACAATGGAAGTGCTTCTACAAAGCAAACAAGATGAAACGGAGAGTCGTCTTGGATGCGCCCAAGTCCTTCAGCTCCTGAAGTTCTGTCTCAGGACGTACTTCACTTTCGACGGGACAATCTACGAAGAGGTGAAGGGCACACCCAATGGGTTGGCCGATTTCGGGGTTCATCGCCGAGGCGGTCCTGCAAGGGTTAGTATCGCTGGGCTTCCTTACCCGCCGATCGTGTCTTCTTCTTCTTCTTCGTCAAAACTTTTTCCTGGGACTCGTCTCTTCGCTTCTATTGACAATGTGTTTGGGCGCGATGCACTCCGATCGGCCCGGCGATGGGAAAACTTCGCCCTTCGTGAGGCCCCCACGTATTCGCAGATCCGGTTTTTGCACAGGTGTCTCGACAATAATGTGTTGCCGAAATGTGTTTCATACAAGCCCCCGATTAACACAGATTTGGCGAGACGAGCAGTATTTCAACATGGTAGAAGAATGATTCGGGTGCTACTCCACGATTGCCACGCGAGACTTCGCAAGTACCGTCAAAGGATTGACCAAGAAAAGACCAAATGCTGTGAGTTCATAGGCAAGATGGGTACAAATCTGCTCCTGCATAGGATAGCTGAACAAGCGGGCGAACAGAGAATGATACGTGACGCAGCACTGGAGAACAAATTCGTAAAGTTGTTCAATTCAACGACGCCCAGAAACGACCAACTGGTGCACAACCTGTCGTCAAATGAGCTGACGAAGGATCAGATGCAGGTTTTACGACACGAAGCTTCATTCAACACGACTGACGCCAAACCTCTTAACATGAGTGCAGCAGTGGAATCAATCCTTAGTCAGACGGAGGCAACGGAGGAGACTAAGAGCCTCATCCGACATCAAGTGTCGTCTCTCCTAATGGCCCACAGTCCGCGGTCCTGCGTACACGCGGACACCTGCTTACAAGTAAGCTTTTCCGCGTATATTGCAAAGACTTCAGGAAAATCTGCTTCGAAGAAGTCGGCGGAGGTGAGTTGTAGTGAGGGAGATTACCTTGACTATCTTCCCACGCATATTAGGACTTTAATTATGCGGAGCGTCTACTGCGCCTCATATTTCAGCTGCAGAACATTTATTTCATCCGCACGGTGAAAAAGTTCCTAAATGCTTTCCATGAGGCAGTCCAAGAAATCGCAATGTGCTCCGACTAAGGCGGAAGTTCACAATAGACCGAAGATTACTCTGTTGTCCTTTGACGTACTGCATTGTTTAGTATCGATTTATGTGAATTTCACTGGGAGGCATTGAAAATGCATACAGTATGGCCGCCTCCTTCTCACAAGTTCGATTTATGTCCTCCTATATAAAAGCGATTAGAAAGCCTTTCAGATGCGTATAGATGTTTAATGAAACAGAACGGTTAATGACAAACGCCGTCATGCACATCTCTAATATATTATATTTGTCTAAAATATTAAATCATACTCCTCTTTAGAATTTTGTCCATCATTCACCGGAAAGGACACCTCAAGACTTTTGGTCATTTGTTGTTTACTTGTAGTCACAAAAAGCCTTTTTGAATCGTTAGTTTGTTTGCAATTTATTTGTCTTTGATTCTACTTACCTCAAACGATAGTTGAGGTACAATGACCAAGGGCTCGAATATCTCTTTTTTGAAATTCGCCAACGGCAATGCTCTTAAGTTCGTTGTGTTCTGATGACTTCTACACCTTAGCTTGCGCTCAGTAAACCCAAGCTCGAAAACTGTGGAATATGCACGGCTGCAACTAATCGGCTTAATTTCAGTTCTTGTGTATAAGTGAGGTGAAGTGGCGACCTTGTCCTTCTTTCCGTAACAGACGCAAATTCAGGCCGCACATAAGTGAGACATGAATTTTCGATTTAACTTAGTGGTCCATACTAACTTATCCGGTCCTCCGTTTTCTCTTAGAATATTTAAGCTGCAAAAGCTGACGGTTTACTCTCTCGTATATTTGTTGGTTATCGAAAACGTTGGTAAGGAAATTAATTGAGAATTGTTTTAGGACATCTGATTAGGCTAAGGGTTGGCGGGCGCCAACAGGTCCAAGTTTGTCCAGAGTTCATTAAAGTCGTAAAAGTCCAGAAATCTGCTCTCGGCTAACTACCCGCATTCAAGTTAACAATGCAAGAATGCTTGACGAAGCATCTTGCCATCGCTGATCTTCACTGTCGATCGAGAATCCGGCCTTTAGAAGATCTAATGGGATGTTATACGTACATTCAAGCCAAGAGATCGCTGCGCCTGACTTCGTGTTCCAGAAGTGTCCTAATTGGCGTCTTTGCTATGCTCCGTTGTGGATTTGCACAACTTTGGGCTGTCGTTATGTTTCAATTACATGCTGCGGCGAGTCTCACCTCTTCGTGTCGCAAAGTATATGTATTTACAAGTGTTTGGTTAGTTCTTCTTGCTTCTATTTCCGTTTGGCCGCGTAGAAGGCCTTTTATGACATTCTAATAGAAGTGCGATTCAGGAAACCTTTCCTATCACGCAGTAACCACTCAGAACACAATTATACGTAGCGCTACTTTCATCAGCTTTGTTGTGCTTTTCCCTGAAATATTTATAGCAAAGTGCATTTCAGGCTGATTGTTGAATGTCAATGCAAATGCCGCATAGCTCAGATGTGGTTATAATAGTCCCACCTGAGGTAAAAAACTTCTAGGCACCTAAGATACAAGTTCGGCTGTAAAGTGGGCTTTTATAGGTAGGGCCGGGGAATGCACAGGCGAGGAGGTAAAATAGTTGTGCACAAAATAAAAGCTATTGTTAATGTGCCGTTGCGCTTTGAGTGGTTCAGAAATAGTTTCCCTAATCACTAACCCTTATCCCTATCTCGAATCCCTAACTCGAATTTCTAACTACAAACCCTAACTCGAACCCCTAACTCTAACCGCTAATTCGCACCCCTAACCCCTAATCCCAACCCCTAGCTATAATGTCTAACCCTAAAACCATAGTCCTAAACCCTATTGTATGCGTCTATCAAGTTGGACTACATAACTATATCGTTGAAGTTCCATGCGTATATCGTGTGTCTCTTGAGGTCAGCGATGGGACGCAAGTAAATTTATCTCCTTAAACTGTATTCTCAATGGATATTTACGTTTTACTTAGGTTCCAAGATATGCACTAAAAAATACTTTGATACCTGCTAGCCTTGGGAGCAAAACCGTCAACTAAGGACGTAAATGCAAATACTTTGGATAAAAATAGAGGGCCTATGGCACATTCTGTTAATCAGGTTTTAAGTATGAACCTTTAAAATGCTTAAGACGGTGGCGGTTGAGATTAAATGGAGTACGACTGGGTTTTATGTACAAGCAAATTGCACATCAGCGCTCACTTATCCAACACATGTCTCAATTTGCCATACTTTACAATTCCACTTATGAGTCACTTCATAACACTTTTGGAATTGCCTGTAACTATTGGGATCATAATGCATGAAGTCTCAAAAAAGTGAAAAATATGTTTGTTTAATAGCCCTTGAAGTGGAGCGAATAAACGTGCCCCTAGTTGATGATATAACTGCAAGTACACATAATGAGAACACATCTGCTAATACTTTTATTTCCGCTGGAAGACAAGGAATTATGATGCCTAGTGAACTTATGCATGAAATGTCTAGTGGGTCTTTTTTCAGAGTACACGTTGCATGTTGTCACGCAGTGCTCTCGAATATTTTCAAAGGCATCTATATTGTGATTGTTGAAAGCAAAGATCTTAACCAGCCGCTCGTCTAATGCTGTCGGTTCCAGGAACAAGCACTGTGTCCCTTCCTCTGTCCGCCTCCAGGGATAGTTACTTCGTCCACCTGACCAGGCACCACCGTATACATGGAAACACGGATATATGATTGTGCAGATTATGTCTTTGCGGCGTCCGAGATTCCAAGTTCAGGATTGGCCTCTTTCGGTGACTGGAACTGACTGCCTTAGTAGTTTGCAAGCAAACTAATTATTTTTGTATCATCAGCTCACACACTCCGTGTTCCAACTTCTAAATCCGAACGTACGCATCCAAGCAATATGTGTTTCTGTACGTTTATTAGAATACCTCTGTTAAGGGAGGGAGGGGGGCTGAAACTGCACGCATCAGTCTTAATTTCCTAATACAAATGCCGTGGACAGATATTTCCAAAACGCGTTTCCGGTCCGCCTACTCAGCTCGTCAACCAGCAGGAATAGGGTGAATATGGAAATTATTGGTTAAATCCTTGGTCTTGAGGGTTATGATTGCACATAAAACCTGCCCTTCGTCATAAGACCCATCTGGAAGAGTGTTTTGATTCCTAGGTTTCACATATGGACATAGAGCGTCTGGTCGACATGTCCATCAATTCCCCAAAAAATATAAACACTGAAAATCAAAGGAAAAACCAAAAATCAATTCGCATATCCATGACGGATGAAAGACAGCACAAAACCTGATACTGACCTCCCTGATCCATATGCAATTCGCTCAACGTGTCAGAACGCCCGTGAATTTAAATCTACATATTAGCAATAAGAGAATATTACGTTGGGGAATATCCATTCAGCAAGTTTTGTGCACCCGTAATCTAACCGTGAAGTGTAAACGCACATAAGACGGTGAAGATACCAAGACCTACATTTAAATTATACAGGAAACTAGACATTAATGCTTTGGGTATTCTTTTGCAGGTAGTACCGTGAATCAGGTCTACACAAGCTGCAAAACATGCGGTCTGGATATCGAACTGCTATATATGATCAGAAGAGCAGTATAGGTTCGTGAGAATGGAAGGATCAAAGCCGGCTGCTGGACCCTTGTAGGCGCAACCAGCAATTGCGTACTCAAGACAGTCATATCCTTCGGGAAAATAGTCCTCATGGAACTTGTTGGCAATTAGCCTGTGGGAGTTGATCAATTCCGGCAAATGTTGAGATCCGAGAATGCAAACATCACGGACGTACTTGGTAGGACATGGGTTTTGCCTCCAGAACTTGTAGCGGACAATCCCCGGAAGACAAAGTACATCCACGTTCTCATCACTGAACTCGTGAAGATTCTAACAGGCGCCAGGGGCTCCCAAATGTGCATTGTAGGCGAGGGTTCCGTACAAATGCTCATCCGGGAATTGTATTATACGCGAACTGCCTCAGCGCTTCCCTCACCTTTACAGCCCTCTGGTCGTTAAACATAAACTTCACGAATTCCCTTTTTACGACGATGTGATCTGTATTCTTTATCCAGGTTGGCTTTGTTTTAAGTAATAACACAAGATGAATTACTTTGTGATTCGTGGACAATAAAAGATTTCTCGGTCCTAAGTTTGCCATAAGCGAATAGTCAATAACCATGCTCAAGGTAGCCGAACATGATGGAGACTAAACTCTGTCGTAATTCTTTAAAGAGTCATACATGTACCAATAAGGATCAAACGTTTTTGTACACTATTAACAAACGCAGCCAAGTTTTTTCGTCAAGCACGATTATGAGACGAGGGATGTGGTGAGACTGAGTAAACCAAGACCGGATGGAACTGCAATCACAATAATTTGATCATTGAGGAGAGGTAGTATTTGAAGCAGTTTTAACGCACTTTATTTACATCTTGGGGAATGGGAGTCGAAAATGTATCAAACATATTTTCCTAACTCGCCTAGAGATCGACCCCGCAATTTCGTGGCTAGGAAGATTAACTTCCAAACAACAGGTCGCGCGTTTGAAGCCCAGGAATTTCAAAAAGTAGGATCCGATCTGGCTTACTAGATACGGCAAATAAGCTAAAAATGGTGTTTTCGTTTTCGTTGGCAGTTTTGGCACTGATACTTCGCATGTATATACGTGGATACGGTTTATTCGCACAATAAGTTTTTGCCTGTTCCTGAACCCCCTTGAGCCATATGAAGCACGTGTTTTTCTGAAAGCCAGTGAATCGGTGTACGCCCATTCCTGAGAAAATAAATACCGGATCTGCAGAGGCAGAGAATGGCAGGTAGCGAGGTACTGATGAACGTCGATTCAATGAAGTGCTTATGACCCATGTGTTAGACCGCTCTGTGGACCATCTGCACCGTGAACGAGCACATGATTGGGTTTCTGGTTACAACTACTGGTCGGGATTCTGGATGGCTGAATGAAGTCAAACCACACCCCATACTCCCCGCGCGCGACACTCCGACCTTTAGACTGTTGAAGTCGCTTTAAAAACGATTCCATTTCCTGATAGAGGATTTCGAATGGACGTTGAAGTCAGCTGACCAGTTCCTGAGGAGTAACAAACATCTATAAATAGAGCTAGAGGAGATGATAATATTCGTTTGACGCGGTCACCTTAATTCATCTCCATTCCAACCTGCCTTGCCAAAAACACCGTTTATTAGATTCTATAGGAAAAGTTAAATGAAAGTGATCAGGGACTTAAACGAATGCACGTTGCAAAACTTCTGGAATTATGCCTCAGAACTTTATTCTCTTTCAACAACTGGGTTAACGAGCAAAAGAAGGGAATATCGATGGGCTCCCCGCTGTCTCGGCCGATTGCTGAGGCTGTACTGCAGAGTCCTGAATCACCAGTTTTCCGTTCCTGCTTCCCAAAATTCTGGGCCCGATACGTCGACGACACATTTGTCGTAATCAAGGGGAACCACGCTCAGGACTGCAAGGTCTTGTGAAACTCAATAGTCCCAGACATTTAATTAATAATGAAAGAGGAGAACAACAACAAGTTGCCATTCCTTGATGTCAATGTTGCAATGCAAGGACGGCTAGTGAGGGGATAAGAACTACGGTATATCGTAAGGCGACTTATACTAGACGCAACCGCCAATTCCGAAGGAACCACTCTTTTGGTCACAAACGCAATTGTGTCAGAGCTCTTCTCCAACGAGTTCAAGCACACTGTAGTGACGACGTCGGGAAGGGAGGAAGCAATATATCTACATCCCATATTCGCAGCTATTGGTTACCCACGATCCCTTATACGTGAGTGCCGACGAAAAGGGGAGGACCCATAGGCATGCAGACCTAGCAGCGACAACGACGGCCGGTAAGATGACAGATGTCTCACGAGCGCAACAGCGGTCGCCCACGCAGACAGCAAAGCCAATCTCCAGCCAGCAGGAAGAACAGAGATCGTGCATCGGGCATGCCTATAACACGAGACAGGCGGCGAGACAGAACAACTCTGGGCTAGAAAGGAACAAACGCCCAACCACTAACCTTATGATAGAAGGAGGAAGTTTCCGAAACGTCAGCACAAATATTGTTTAGCCTATGAAGTAGACTCTTTTTATTTTTGTTATGGAGATGATGGACGAAATATATATATATATATATATCAATCAGGAATGGGCGCACACCGATCTATTGGCTTCACAAAGCAAACAAGCTCCGTATGTGTGGCAAAGGTCACGAACAGGCAACCAATTACCAGGCCGAAGTCGGCCAAGTCATAATAGCAGCGAGGAGGGGCGACAGAGAATGCGGGTAGATTGATACAGCACTGTTTCGGGCTTATTCTGCCTTCATTCAGCCAATCATAACCCTGACCACCAGCAGCTGGCACCAGAAAGACAAACATGCGCACAGACGCACCTGGCGCAGTCGGTCCACCACTGAGGCCTACCAGATGGGTCATAAGCACTTCATCGAACCGAAGTTCATCAGTGCCTCGCCACCTGTCATTCTCTGTCGCTGCAGATCGGGTATTTATCAATCAGGAATAGGCGCATGTTTGTGTTTCTGGTGCCAGCTGCTGGTGGTCAGGGTTATGATTGGCTGAACGAAGGCAGAATAAGCCCGAAACAGTGCTGTATCAATCTACCCGCATTCTCTGTCGCCCCTCCTCGCTGCTATTATGACTTGGCCGACTTCGGCCTGGTAATTGGTTGCCTGTTCGTGACCTTTGCCACACATACGGAGCTTGTTTGCTTTGTGAAGCCAATAGATCGGTGTGCGCCCATTCCTGATTGATAAATACCCGATCTGCAGCGACAGAGAATGACAGGTGGCGAGGCACTGATGAACTTCGGTTCGATGAAGGGCTTATGACCCATCTGGTAGGCCTCAGTGGTGGACCGACTGCGCCAGGTGCGTCTGTGCGCATGTTTGTCTTTCTGGTGCCAGCTGATGGTGGTCAGGGTTATGATTAGCTGAATGAAGGCAGAATAAGCCCGAAACAGTGCTGTATCAATCTACCCGCATTCTCTGTCGTCCCTCCTCGCTGATATATATATATATATATATATATATATATATATGAGATGAAGAGGCGATCTCGGGAACCATGATTGTATTGTCCTGACGTTTCAAAAGCAGACAAGCTTTCATCGTCGGAGGTGAGTATCGTACGGCATCACACAGTATTTATAGGAGGGGGATAGATATCAGTCATGCTAACACGGTGGTAATTATAGGGGGAGGGGGTGGTTAATCGGCTTTGGCGCTAATGGCCCGCATACGCACAGGGATCGTCTCTGTAGTCGCCGGGGCAGAGCGGGAGGGAGGGTGACTGCTGTCAATCTGCCTGTCTCTCGTCGGGGGGCGGAATTTGAACGTTGGTGGCCATCGCCCGCATTCGCGTTGACCTTAATTGTCGTGCTGGGTTGCTAGTCTTGATGGCATCCCTCTGCCCGTGTTTCTCTCCGTCTGTCAGAGTAGTAGTTGAGGCAACAGTATTGATGACTGCGCCTTCGTCGGGCCCGATTTGCGGTGTGGCTACATGTAGGTCCGTCTTAGGCTCTCCCGGGTTTGGATCCACGTCCGGCCTGACCTCGTGCTTGCTCTTTAGTTCGTTGAGCTGCGTCCGGAGGGTTTGGTATGCTGTCGGGAGGGCGACACAACGGTTTATTGAGGTTGTTTCCGTGTGCCAGGCCTCGATCGATTCCCTGGTTACGCAACTGTTGCCTCGACCCAGAATTTTGGCGTTCTGGAAGGCAAAAGTGTGTCCAGAGTCCGCGCAGTGTTCCGCCATCAGAGACAATGGGTCCATTCTCCTCACTGCCCGCATGTGTTCGTTAACACGAGTTTGTAACCGTTTGCCTGCCTTTCCGACGTAGTTTGCTTGGCAAGAGTTACACTGGACCCGGTAGATGACGTTTGTCGTCTCACCTCGTGGCAGGGGTCTTTCGGTTTCATAACCAAATGCCGAATGGTTGAGTCTGGTCGATGAGCGATCCCGATCCCCAAGGGCCTTAGGAGGCGGGAAAGTGCCTCAGAGACGCCGTCGATGAATGGCAGTGCACTCCAGACTTTTGGCTGTTCTGTCACCCGATTTTGGCCTGGTTTAGACTGCCTGCTGCGCTCGATGAAGTTACGGGGATATCCGTTGGCCATGAAAAGGCGCTGAAGATAGCGGAGTTCTGTCCTTCTGTCATCCGGTTCGCGGCAGTGTGTTTCTGCTCTACTGTAGAGAGTTCGCACACAGATGCGTTTGTGACATAACGGGTGTTTACTGTGATAGTTTAGGATTTGGCGTGTGTTGGTAGCCTTCCTGTACACCGTCGTTTTTATGTGCCCGTTCGTGCAGCATCGGTCACACCGATTCAGTCACACCGATGCTGCACCTACGGACTTCCTAGCCAACCTTGAATCCCTCCTTCTGACCTCCGACGTCCCTGATGACATGTGTGCGGACATTCGCAGTTGCGTTACTGGTCTCCTCCGACAAAGGAAACATCATCACACCCTTCCGACCGAAGAGAAAAAGGCGTTGCGATCGCTAAAGACAGATGACAAAATAGTTATTATGTCTGCTGACAAAGGAGGAGCAACCGTTATCATGGATAAGGTTGACTACGTCAACAAGGCAAACCAAATCTTTGATGACAGGGAAGCCTATGCACCACTCGCTGCAGACCCAACGAAAAAGCAAGCCGCGACTATCAAGAAGAAAGTGAATGAGCTTGCCCGATTGAAGCTCATAAGCCCCGATGATAGCAGATCTATGACCCTCAATGACCCCCGTATCGCACGTGCGTACGGCCTTCCGAAGGTGCACAAGACAGTTGCGCCGCTGAGGATCATTGTGCCACTTATTGGATCCCCTACTTACAACCTTGCCAAGTGGTTATACAGACACTTAAAGCACCTCGCAAATGGATCGCAATACAGCATCAAAAACGTTCAGGCTTTCCTACAAAAGATCCAAGGCCTTGAAGTAAGTCCTGACGAATGCATCCTATCGTTCAATGTTGTTGCCCTATTTTCTTCAATATCACACGACCTAGCGATTGACAGCGTAGCCGGATGTCTAGAGCAAAGTCCCATTGGCATTCCAACAGAACATGTTCTAGAAATGCTTAAGCATTGCCTCAAGAATTATTGTCAGTTCGATAGCAAGTACTATCAACAAGTAAAGGGCACCCCAATGGGCTCCCCAATATCGGGGCTGCTAGCAGAACTAGTCTTGCAGCGACTAGAACAGGATGTTGTGCACACCTTCGAACCAAAAATGTGGCTCCGCTACGTGGACGACACATTTGTCATCATAAAGACCAGGGAAGTTGAGCGATTGCATCAGAGCTTAAACAGCGTCTTCCCGGCTATACAGTTCACCCGCGAGGAAGCAACAGGAGATACCCTCCCGTTCTTAGATGTGAGCATACAAAGACTCCGTGATGGCAAACTAGCGACAAGCGTCCACAGAAAAGATTCTAATGCCGAAATCATACTTAACTATGGGAGCAATCATCCTGCGGCCCATAAACGAAGCTGTGTCCGCACTCTTTTTCATCGGGCCTATCGCATCTGCAACAGTGATGACTAACTTAAGAAAGAATTGGCCTACTTACATCGGTTGTTCCGCTCCAACGGATATCCTGCCAGTTTCGTAAAGACTTTCTCAGACGCCAGAGACAACTACCAAACCTCGAGTCTCATGAAGATAGAGCGTCGCAGAAATTCTATTCACTGCCGTACATTCAGGGAATCTCTGAAGCACTCTCCCGGCAACTAAAACGCTTTGGCATCTCCATTGCCCATGAGCCCGCATCTTCCCTACGCGAGACATTATGCCGAGTAAAGGACCCAGTGCCCAAAGAACAATTAACTAACGTCATCTACTGCATACCGTGCGCCAAATGCCCTTGTGTTTATATTGGTCATACAGGTCGATGAACGAACACAAGAACACAAGTTAGCCCTCCGCCGAAGTGACCCTCTGTCCCTAGTGTTTGCGCACGCCAATGAGCATGATCACCGCTTCAATTGGGATGACACTGAAGTGATCGCAAAGGCTAACACCAGACAGGCGCGAGAATTCTTCGAAGCTTGGCATTCTGGCACGACCAGCATCAACCGACACGTCGATCTAGACGCTCATTACTAGGGCTTACGTACACGTTAACTGTCTTGTTCCCACACCTCAACATTTGTTAACTTTTACTCGGCCACATAGACGTATGCTGTTTCGCCTTTCCGCCCCCACTTGCGACACGGTGAACAAAAACCTAAACCCTCTCTAAAACATCCAACGCCGGCACATTGCCATTCGACATCATCCCGCACCAGTAACCAGCCGCCCGCATTCCCACTGACTCGCAATACCCACACTCCCATCCCCCCCCCACGTTTTCACCGCCTCCAACACTGGGAGCCCTATCGGTTCTTCCTTCCCTTCCACTGCCCAGCTAGCTACTGGCGGACAGAATGGGATCGAGTGAGATCCTAACCACAACAGTGAGAGTCAAACGCCCACTTGACATGCTTCTATACCTCATTTCATAAGGCCTATGACGTACTGATGATCGGTAACGACCGTGAAACAGCTGTCTGCGTCTGGCCTGTTGCACTCTTAGCGAGCTGCTCATGTATTATATGTGGTATGTGTCCCCTGACACAGCGTTCGTTGTCGCCAGTAGCTAGCTGGCGGGCGGACAGAATGGGATCGAGTGAGATCCTAACCACAACAGTGACAGTCAAACGCCCACTTTAC